TCAGAGACTTCGTGGATTTAATGGCAGGTTTTCATGGACCACCTCTTAATCTTTTCCAACCTAATTCTATTTCAGCTAACAATTGCTCGATGAGCAACCAGCTGATAGCTTGGTATTCACCCGACACCTGTCCTAGCCATCTTAATCGATACAGCTTCATTACCTTATTGATCGACTTCCCTACCTTACCTACCAGTTGACACGTAACCTCAATACTACTCACCATATTATATCAATTAATACGGGAGATGGAATGCAGATATCTATGGTCTAAAATAATCAGCCTTTTCGTATCTTCCACTTTCAATGACTATTTCTCACAGTCAAAAGGCAGGACAGAGCGAACAACCGCACAGGACAGACTCACTGAATGATAGATAGTCGAATATCTACGAACATCTACGCTAGGAGAGATGACGATACTGGCTAGTTAACTTACATTAGATTACCTTATCCTATTGTGTCGGCTGTTACCAACTATTCCAATGCGTCTCTCATTCATTCATTCAGCGACTCAGAGATTGACTTGCTACTAGGGAATAATCTCGTTGACTTAGAATATGCGGACGATATAGTCCTTCTAGGCGAGGACGCTGAAAAAATGGAGAGTCTACTGAACACCTTGAGCAACAATCTTCGTATGTTTGGTATGCGATTCGACCCTGTAAAATGTAAGATGACGCTGCAGGATTGGATTACACCGACTCCTAGATTAGAAATAGGAAGTGAAGTGGTAGAGCACGTTGACCGCTTCACTTACTTGGGAAGTACCATCAGCCAGTGCCAACGGGTTGATCTCCGACGAAATCTCAGCACGAATACAGAGGGATAATTTCACACTTGCCAGTTAACGCCGTCTCTGGCGTAGACGTGACATCCGGCTGGCTATCGACCAAAGGGCGTGTGTACTGCTCAACAGTCCGCTCCGTCCTCCTTTATGGCTGTGAGACCTGGCCATTGAGAGTGGAAGACATGAAAAGATTAGTTGTCTTCGATCATAGGTGTCTGCGCTCTATCTCCCGCGTGAAGTGGTATAATAAGGTGAGCAATATTGAGGTTAGGCGTCGAGTGCTAGGTAAGGTGGGGAAATCAATAGACGAGACTGTGAAATTACATTGGCTGAGATGGTTAGGACATGTGCTACGTATGCCTTCCTCGACGGGCAATGTTAGCAGACATAGGGAAGGGCTGGAACAGAGCTAGCGGCGGTGAAACGAAAACATGGCACCAGTCAATGAAATCTACAACAGTTAGTCTAAGCCACGTAGGAAGGTGTAGACTTCATAGTTGGGGTCCTCGGGACGGTTAAAACCAATGATTAGAAACAATTGGTGACATGGCTCAAAATCGTTCTCAGTTGTTGGCGCAGATGCATCCACTCCTTGTGACTCATGATTTCCAATGGACCTGTTTTGTTCTCCGTTATTACTATTCCTTTGTCTTACACCTCTGTTTACTGTGTATACTATGCATTTCTCCTACTTTCTTCTTCTCTTGCTTTGTGTGTTACATGGAGTATGGCGACTTGAACTGCCGCACATATGTGCGAAGTTCTATGTCGAAAACCGACCGACCGACCGTCTCTCCTTCATCGTGCGCATTACCTTAAATATTCTACAAGACAACATTCAATCATTCAATCTAAATAAGTAATCTTGTAATCTATTATAAAACGTTACATTCATAGAAGCCAAAAAATAAAAATTGAGAAGATTTTTCTTCTCTTTTTTTTTTTGAGAAACAGTTTCTTTATCATCATTATCATCATCATCATCATTAGCATACCAAATTTTTTTTGTTGTTGATTTTTTATGATCAATTTTTGTCTGAAAATATGCGGGTTAACATTGTGAAACTCTGAATAAAATTTAGGTATTTAGAGAAAATCAATTCAAGTAGATAAAAGCTCATGATATAACTAGTTTAAGGAATAAAATATTATTTAACAATTTCATTTGGCTATTTGGCAATCATAACGTACTTATAATCTGTTGGTATGTTGATTTCTCTCTCTCTCTCTCCCTCTGTCTCATGAAAGCATAGCTATTGAAAGACGAACAAAATGTCTCATTATACGCTGTACTTTTGATGCAAATTCACCGAAATTATTGTCACTTTTGATTTCCCCCCTACCAGCAGAAATATCCGTCTTTGATAGTTTGTGATTCCAACTAAGGTTCCTTTGTATTTATATGTCAGACTAAGACTCAATAAGCTAATCGACATCTAAGGTTAATGCGAATTTGATCCACTTGTGGCACCGTCACGACGCGTCAGCCTTGCTGTCAAAGGGATTGGTTCTACTTACAGTGTTTCGGTGTGCTCAGTCTCTCTCAACGTCTGTGATACCTGGCTTCTGGGAGCTGAAGATGTGCGGTGACTCTGCGTATTCAATCATCGCTGTCTCTATGTAGAATCGTTAGCTTCCGATGACATCATTGTGTCCCGGTATCCTGTATATGGAGGTCAGCATGCACTGAGTATCGTCAGCTGGAAACACTGGCGTTGGGTGGCTTGGACACGTGCTATGAATGTCATCCCAGAGGCTAGCACTGGGATTGGATGAAAACAAATGGAGAGGTGGTTAGCCTAAGAGGTGGCGTCGTGGGATGAGGGGTATTCGTGGTACGTTATCATCCATTTGTAAATCATGACTCCCTGGTTTGAGGTCGGAGAGATAGTTGGAATCAGTGACTTGAAACGTTATCACCAGATATGCCCAAGGATTACAATCAATGCCAAATGTTGTTTGATGTTGTCAAATATACTTGCTTCCTTTCTGGATGACGTCCTTTATTCATACTCCCCATATCTTCTTTATATATTGTTTTATTATCGTTGTCTGGCGCGTCTTCTTAGTGCCTACCAGGTCCTGTGTTTTAAATCAATAAATCAATAGTTTAAAAGTCAGGTGCTTGAGCTAATGTTCCACATGTAGTCATGAGTAATAATTACAGTCGATCGGTCAAGTGTGCACTATTGTCACTGATCTAGATGTCACAGTACTTCTATACCTTGTATTACGCTTTTAACCCTTTTGTCAAATATTAGCAACCAATGGACAGATAAGTTTAGACTCATGTTTTCGATTTAGTGGCAGTTATCTCCAACTTTTCTTTGTGCTAGAATATACATCGATGATGCCTGTTTTTGAACATAGGTGCCTGCATTCTACCTCCCATGTTAGGTGGCATAATAGGGTGAGTAATATTGAGATTAGGCCTCAGTCGAGGGCTAGGTAAGGAGAGAAAATCAATCGACGAGGCTGCGAAGTTACATCGATTGAGATGGTTAGGACATGTGTTAAGCATGCCTAATCATCGCCTTCCTCAACGGAAAAATGCTAGCTGACATAGAATGGATCAGGTTGGAAAAGAGCCAGTGGTGGTCAAAACAAAACATGGCTTCATCATCCAATGAAATCCATAGGGAGGTGTAGACTTCCTGATTCGACTCCTCAGGATGGTAAAAATTAGTGCCTAGAGAGAATTGTTGATGTGGCTCAAAATCGTTCTCAATAATGGCTGGCACAGATGCATTCACTCTTTATGATTTATCATATCCAATAGATCACTATTGTTCATGCATTTTACTATTCTTTTTGCCTCACTCACACTTCTATTTGTTATCTCTCTTTTTTTGAATTGCTCTTTTACTCTCTTCTGTTGCTTTGTGTGCAACATGGAGGGAGTGTGATAACTCGAACTGGTGCACATCTGTGCTTAGTTCTATATTGAAACCGGTCAGTCAGTCAGACGTCATTGCCGTGTTGCGTAACTTAAGGATTACATTACATATCTGATCGATAGGTTTCAATCTGTATTTGAATTATACGGAGATAAATTTTCAAGTATTGCTCACTAGCGACTGGCTCTATTCAGGTAGGTAGTCACCTGGGGTTCTAGTGGGAAGCCGTGACCAGTAATCTGCAGCAGGTTGAAGATGAGGCAGTAACTCATCGAAGAGGAAATTGGCTAGTGGTGGCGCTATATAATGAATTGGCAGAAGTTAGAATTCATGGGGTGGCCATTGGATCGGGTCCCAGTGACTTAATGGTCTACGAGCTAGCTCGCCTTGTAACCAGAAGGTCCTATGTTCGAACGTCCTGTGGTGGTTGCGTACTGTTGAGGAGTCCCAAACCAGGACGATACGAACAACTGTCCAGTACTCCCTGGCTTGTTTTCTAATGGTTCTCTAATTGATGTCAGCTCATGATGAAATCCTCCAACTTGTAAGGAGATAAGTTGACTATCATCAGGAGTTTTTTTCATCTACAGAATCTTGCTTTTCAATTAGTTAATTACCCCGTGGGAATGTTTCTACGATGTAAGTATTTTTTGAAATTACTCACATTCGCTAACCTGTCAGATAATCATCGACATTGACCAGTATTTAGAATATCTTAGAATATCCTCCAAAAATATATCAATCGGAAACTGTCCAATGAGGTTATCATGTCAGTGCATGCATCAATCGCAACTTCATGGCTAACAACGATAGGCTATCCGTCCTAACACCTCCCTTTTTAAAACAGATTTCCAATTAAGGAACCACGGGAAGATATTTCTAGGTCTGAGTACTCTCCGCTTATGGTAGTCAAAGAAAAACAAACAAACTAACACGTTTGTAGAAACTACAATGGGTTAAGGTATACAGGAGAAAGAATGATAACGATTTAGTAGATCTAGGTGATGACAAAGGGCGAATTCATCCGAACCATTGAGAATGATTTTTCCTAGCCATGTCACCAAAACTCCCCTAGCCATTGGTTTTTAAAGTGTCTGGAGGATCCCAGTCAAATATTTTACATCTCTCTACACATCTTATATTGATGATTCGAATGTAAACTTGCTATCTGCAGTAATTATTTGTTTTATTAGAATACAGAAGATTTAGGAAATTTTGATAGATAATCCCTTGAGCTTATTTTGTATGCTACCCATATATAATTCCGTTGTTTTTCTAAAACAATTTTTATTAAATCATTTTTATTTCACTAGCTAACCCGACGAATTTTCAAAGGAATTCCTGATCGATTTCGTGTGACTGTTTGGCCTCTCCTCCTTTGTGTAGCAGATGCTAAGAATAGAAATAAGGATATTTATACAGTGAGTTGGTGTTCTTAGTTTAACTGTATTCTGTTCATACTACATCGATTTTATTTATTAATTGTGGCGGTCATCGTTACTAGTGTGATTTAAAACAAACACGTTACAAGCGTTTATATATATAAGTTGTCGGTCTAGTCCGCATGACTATGGTTACCTTTGTGCTTGTACCCAATTGTTAATTTAAAAAAAAAGTTATTGAATATATTCAAAGTACAGTATAAGAACTAATGCTAAGTAATACAGTTGGCTTTTAGTAATGAGTCTGTATTTCACGTTTTGTGTTCCTTATCGTTTCGAGTGGAACATATAAAGCTTTAGGCTATGAAGTTTCAATAACGCTTGTGTTTACTTACGAGGTGGGGTTACTAACTTCACCCCACCCCCATTAATCTTATTTTCAATGCTTGGTACCGCTCAGGTGTGGTAGAGGAGAGTGTGTCGGCTGTGAAGTGAATCCCGAACCATGTGCGTGGCTGTCAAGCATTTTACTCCTTAACCACCTATTCAGATTCTCCAAATATTATTTACTGGTAATCCTTTGGATGAACTATACTTCTGTGACTGAACACTAGTGAACAACTAGTATCATGTATCTAGTCCTTTGTTTGGTGCAGACTGAATTTTATCACAGTCAAGTCAATGTGGACACCAAGCCCATTAGGTGGCTGGCTCGCCATCACGATGCACTCTGAATTGTTGGTATTAGATGATTGGAGGTAATCAGCAGGAAGCCTTGGACCTAACCTAGGTTTCGTACTTGTTGATACTCACAAGTCAGCAAGGCATATCATTTCCCTCCTGAGATTCGAACCCATGCCACCTAGTTCTACAGTCTGTCGGAGATGTTACCACTGAGCTATTTGGGATCGCTGTCAGCTTACCGTAGGACTGTATTGGACATTTTGATTGGAGACTAGATAGAAAGTAACTAGTTTCATGTGTCTAGTCCTACAGGAGGTCAATTGCGAGCCTGAATAGCTGAGTGATAACGTCTCTGACTTCAGTACTGGGTGACACGATTCAAATCCCAGGAGGGACATGAGTTCCTTCGAGATTTCAGATATGCCTTTGCTGACAAGTGAGCGCCAAAAAGCACTAAACCTAGGTTAGCCAGGGATTCCTGCCGATTACCTCCAACCGTCTTCTAAGACTATACTTCCTTTTAAGTCGATTTCCAAATTGTTTAACCGTGTATAATTGAAACAACAAAAATAAAATCTTGATTATTCAATCTGCAACTGTGATTGTGGCTTTTTTTTAAAATTTTATAAGTGGGTTAAATCAGATTTAACTATGATATAATTTCCATTGTGTGCATGCTCTTAAATTATGCATATTTTAATTTTGTTAGTTGATCTCTTGTCAAGTTTGATTGACTTTTTGTAACTGTTTTTGTGCATTGGTTGTCAGATATGATCCATATTTAAGTGTTTAATATTTCTCTGAGCTGGTTAAAAGTAGATCGTTACCAGCCTACGCTGAGGGAGGCCGCTGAGCTGTCGTCAACTTTACTACATGGTGTTAACGGAAGTAGACAGCTGATGACAGTTGTGGTTTATTGGATTATTCACTCGACTTACAACTGAAAGGTTTCGGGTTCGAAGACCTTATTACTTCCATACTACTTACTAATAGTAAGTAGTACAAAACTGAATACAAAAGAAAGGGTAACAAAGGACAGATATAAATAGTTTTATTCTAAACAGTAGTTTTGTCACAAATATGGAATTTTCATCACATAAAACAACTAATTTTCTCATTACAGGAGCAATAAATAAAATTAGGCACTTACAATAGTGCGTCGGTGGCACAGTGGTTAGGACTCTCGTCGACCATGCACATAGTCCGAGGTTCGATCCCTTGCCGACGTACACCTGATATCTATGGTCGGCCTGCAAAATTTGGGCTACCGATATCACATGCTGAAAATTTCATACCTGTACCAGAAAAATACGATGTGGAATCAAGCTGTAATCAAAAAATTAAAAAGGAGGGTTTATGGACTGATTGACCAATATTATATTGGTCCAATATATTAGAGCTAGTATATTTCACTTGTGTTCTTGTTTTTTTTCCTTTGTCGTTTTTTTATTTGATGATTTTTACTCCCTTGAGTTATTTACGACTCACTTGGCTAGGCTCCTGATTACCAGTCACATTGGGTTATACGTTCTATATTCCCCTCACCAACTGCCATAGTTCCGATGCACAACAGGTCCGGTTAATTATCAGCCGCATAGGTGTACAAGTGATTATTGAGTAACACTTTCTTAGCTGTTTCAGAGTTATGATAACTTTGAGTAATATACTGCATGAAAAGTTCTACTCATGTATATCCAAAGTTCGATCACGAAGTAACGAACAACATGCTGTTTGGTGCAGTCAAAAGTCGACAGATACCCTTCTCGTGTTAACTACTCCAACTGTGTATACAAATTTACGTGTATCTGCGGGAGCAGTTACACTGGGAGAACAGAAAGAAGGGCACGCCTCCGATTTTATGAACATGTACCGAAGTGCCTACGTCTCAATGGGACAAACTCTTATAATAGCGCTGCTACCAGACATCTCCTCGATACGGGTCATGAGGTGAGAATGGCGAAATCCTTTTTTAAATTATCTATAAACAAAGGAGCTCGATTCTCCTCAAGTTTGTCGAAGAAATTTCTATCAAACGGTTGAAACCAGATTTATGTGTTCAGAAAGAAGCAGTTATCAGTCTTTCTTTGTCCTGGTAACTGGGTGTTTTTATTCTCTTATTTGATTACGTAATCCTTGGCTTTAACCTCACTCCCTTTTATAATCTGTAATTTTGCTTGTCTCTTGTTTCTACGATTTGAGTTGAACTCAGTACATTGTTACCTAGTTTATTAGTCACTCTGTATCTAACGCTGCTCCCGTCATTATTACGTAACTCCTTTGCCATTTTTATGCGTACATTTATTTTGTTTAAACTTGAACTGCCTGTGTAAAAACTATATAAGCTCAATTTTCTGAGCACTGTTCACTAATTGTGGAACCTTCTGTCAACTGACACCATGAAAAATTTGCAAGTATGTTAAAACTTTTCTGTACATACATAAACCTCATAATTTATTTAGACTGTAAGCAGAAGCTGATGAGAAGCCAACGAAATAAACAATGATGGTACCATGCATTATTCTGCACAAACCACACTGTTGTTCTTGCTTTATTCAAATTCACCAAGGGGAATAAATGCATGAAGTAAAGTCAATTAGATAACCACTGAAAATCAGGGAATTTTCGACACTCGTTTTGTCCCAGCTGGTGATTCTTCAGCAGTACGCACCCCCACCCCTCCCACTAATTATGACTTAAATCCCATTGGTGATTCATTCACTAAGATGGAATCCAATTTCCTGTGAGTTCTAATTTCTTCCACCACCACCAGTCATTGTTATCGACGCGTATCTGTCTGATCCTCACCGTCAACTTATTGATCGTCACTTCTCACCACTAGAACCCCCCTAGCAACTGCATCCCTATGGTCAGTCGGTCAGTCGCTCAGTCACTAGTGTGAGGATTAGCTTACTTTCCAAAAGGGTTTGGTTTGCAAAAGGGGGTTTGCCTGATATTTCTAGGTTAGATCATCAGCAAATGACAGTTTTATCTATACATCCTAATCAATCCATTAAGCTACCTACCTACCTACCTTTTTTTTCCTTCACGTTCCCCAGTGGAACATAGGGCTTCAAGCTAGTGGCTTGAGGTTTCTGTAGCAGTGTTTATTTTGCAGGATGGGGTTGCTAGCCTCACGCCCAACCTTTCCTCTTTACCAGCATTATTTCTGGCTCAGCGAGGTAAAGGAGTGCGTCCAGTGGCCGGGGATCGAACCCCGGACCACCTACACACCTACCTATTTAGAAATAGCTTCAATCACACACAGTCAACTTTCACTTATTTCAATGTTTTGATTGAAAACTATTCACAATTGATTGCATGGAGGATTTCATCATGAGCTGACATCAGTTAGAGAACCACTGGAAAACCAGCTGGGAGTACTGGACAGCTGTTTCGTCCTAGTTTGGGACTCTTCAGCAGTACGCACCCACCGGGATTCGAATCCAGGACCTTCTGGTTACGAGGCGAACTCGTAGACCATTGAGCCACTGGGACCCGATCCAATGGTCCTTGAATTCTAACTTCTGCCAATTCACGACATAGCGCGACCATTTCGCAATGTCTTCTTTGATGAGTAACTGTCCTCATCTTCAACCTGCTGTACCCTACTGGTCACGGCTTCCCACTAGAACCCCAGGTTAACTGCCTGAATAGGGCCAGGTTGAAGATGAGGACAGTTACTCATCGAAGAAGACATTGCGAAATGGTCGCGCTATGTCGTGAATTGGCAGAAGTTAGAATTCAAGGACCATTGGATCGGGTCCCAGTGGCTCAATGGTCTACGAGCTCGCCTCGTAACCAGAAGGTCCTGGATTCGAATCCCGGTGGGTGCGTACTGCTGAAGAGTCCCAAACTAGGACGAAACAGCTGTCCAGTACTCCCAGCTGGTTTTCCAGTGGTTCTCTGACTGATGTCAGCTCATGATGAAATCCTCCATGCAATCAAACCAAATCCCTACAAAACCAATACTTGCATATTCACAATTGATTACATAATCATTATTTGTGTGTATTTGTGTATGCGTGTGTGTGTGTGTGGTGTTTTTTTGCCCCATCGTTGTTATTGTCGCCGTTCATGTTATATATAGGCCTAATGAATTGTATGCTTTAACTGAATTATTATTATTATGATTATTACTATTGGTGTTACGAATGTGTACACGTAGCCAGCCAGCCAGCCAGTCAACCAACCAACTAACTAACCAAGCCAGCTGGCTAGAGACAACAACAATAACAACGGAGACACACTTATATTGTATTCAATCATAACTAACCACTTGTCAACAAGCGATATCTATCTATCTACCTAAGGATTAATTTTGTTTGTTTGTGATTATTATTATCATTATTATTGTT